TAAAGTGATAGAAGACCTTGGAACAACCATTGATGTGGTTTTGGTTAATGGTGTGCTTCATGAAGGAGATGAAATTGTTGTTTGTGGCTTTCAGGTAAGTGCAAACACTTTGTTGCTACATTCGAGTTACTTTTTGTTTGTATACTATAATTAATAAATATATGAACGAATGACGCTATTTTCTTGTTTAAAATATAATGCATGTGCATGTGCAGGGGTCAATTCATACAACAATCCGATCATTGTTGACTCCTCACCTAATGAAGGAACTCCGAGTAAAGGTGAGGATATGTTTGAACCTTTTTGGGCATTTTAAATTTGACAATTGTTTATCAAATTCATTAGTTTTGTTGAGTCTTTATGAGTTTGTTTGTTGTTTGATTCGGGGAGCTTACATTCATCATAAAGAAATCAAAGTTGCACAACGGATTGATTTACTTACTTCATTTCATAGACCCTTCTCCTTTACTGTCCCATGTGGAAGATTTCCCAAACAGATTGATTTGTGGTACGCTGCTGATGGAGACACAAGATGGAGGTGATGTCAAAGGAGAAGTTTCTCCTCGTGACATAGTTTACACACAGGCTGCTGGAGGTGAAGAAGACCCAAACATCTTTCACATGCTTGATCTTCGCTTTGAGTAAGTTTTTCTTTTTTATTTTCCCTCGGCATAAAGTCATATTTTTTTTTTCAATATCAGCAGAGGAATAAGCTGGCGTGATGATTCACTTGAATTGATATATGAAGATTCGTACTCTGACCCATGCTGCAGAGAACTTCTTATGGGACTTATGTTATTGCCAAGTTCAAGAAGGAGGATAAACAAGAGACATACCTGTTGCTAAATGGAAGTGGTGCTACTGCAGAAGGAAACACGAAATAATTAAGGCGTATTTACATTCTACATTTCTACATTACATTACATACCCACATCTTTTATTTATACTATAACTTACGTTTTATATATATTCTTAGGGATATGAAGGAGAACCCGATAATTCTGGAAATTGTGAACAGGTACATAATACCCGTCTTCTGGATTTATATCATTAGTATGTCAGTGAAGTTGGGGACCAAAATTTAAAAATTTAATATCTGCTATTTTGTAATAGATCTTCTTAGAGCTAATGAAAGTTCCATGTTCGGAAGCTAAACTCATAGTTTACTCTTATAAGTTGCAGTTTAGTACACAGGTCAGGAGATACTATTCTTTGCATTTCCTACTTTCTTATATTTACCATATTTTAACTTTACTGTTCTTTTTGCAAATTTAGGTTTCAGAACTTAGGGATAAGCTAAACATTGTTTATTTATCAGTAGAACATGCAAGTTCTTTGTAATTACATGTGACTTTAATTATGCAGCTATTCAGTGACTATAAGATTGGATTAAAGCTTACTTAATTTTTAAATATGTTGGGTCGTGGTTATATCAGATTAGCAGTTCTGTAAAGTTGAGGAGAGTGTTGCTGACAACTTTTTCTCTTGGAAATGCTTTCAACTAGGGAACTGCAACAGGTTAGCTTTCTATTTTTTATTTTATTTTTGGAGTTACAAAAATTAAAAAAGCATGGATTTGGTTTTAGGTTCTGCTGTTTGGTTCAGATTGAGTAGCCTCTTAAGACTTGACGAAACAAAGGCACATTTTGATTTGGTTTTGAATTTTGGTGTTAGATCTTTAACTTTGATTTTGGTTTGGTTTGATTTATATAGGATTTGGTTGAATCTGGTTAGGGTTTCTCGAGAAAAGAGATGGATTGCTGTTGGGGTATAATTATACACCGTGACCATTAAAGACAGAAGCGATAAAGTATACAAGGGCAAAATGGTCATTTTCATAAATTTATTCGATTTAGGGACCAAAAGTGTTATGAAAAATTGCCCTCATCAAGCCTTCAAAAATCGTTTCTGCCCTCAAGGTATACATATATATTTTTAACCTCCTTTAATATTTTTTAAATTAATTAATAAAATGTAATTGTTTTTAATATAAATTTTTTAGGAGTGAACAACTAGTCCTGCTGCATTCACCAGGGCAACGGTTGTTGTTTCGGTCAAGTATTCAATAGTTGAACGACCAGAGAAGATCGATGCGGTCCTCTACCCTAAAATTTCCTCATTTCTTATGCTTATCAAGGATCAAGACCGGGTAAGTCTCTCTCTCTCTCTCTCTCTCTCTCTCTCTTTCTCTCTCTCTCTCTCTCTATATATATATATATATATATGTATATATATTCCAATATCCTACATATCTTCACACAAATGGAAACACGGTAACTTTTATGAACTTTTCCTTCTATTTGGACATGAAACTACTGGGGGCAGAATGTGAGGGTGACCTACTAGGTGTACAAACCTGATCATGTCTCTTTCTATTTCATATATGTGTCTACACCTAAGTGAGCTTATTTTTATTCTTTTACTTTTATAGTTACCACTAAAAGCAATCCAAATCCTTTTGATTATGTCCCTGAGACATAGTCACAGACCTTGAGGCCTTCTTCAAAGCATTCTGACCAATATACCCTTCACAACATTTACCTTTTTATCCTTCTTCTTGAGACTTTATATTGACTTATCCTTGAGGTACACACTAACCCATAAGCTTAAACTCCCTACCTGATACCCTGTTAACTATAAGCTTTACTAAAGTAATCAACTTTTTCACATACTTTGAGCTGGTTTTGGGTAAGGTGGTTTTGGGCCTATTTTCACTTAATTTTCTTCACAAGAGGTCGCAATACAGCCAATTATAAGTGCTTTATTATAGGGTAAGCTTCCTGGAGGAAAAGAAATTGCAGTGAAGAGGTTGTCAAGCCTCTCTGGACAAGGTTTGCAAGAGTTCAAAAATGAGGTTATGCTTATTGCTAAACTTCAACATTGAAATCTTGTTAGACTAGATACATTTATATTTGGTTAGTTCATTTCTCCATTCATATGCTTAGTTATATCTGTAAACATAACTAACTTTTTTTATATTAAGATAAAGAAAGGTCTTCATGATGCTGAATTTTTCTAATATTGGTTTTGCGTTGCAGACAGTATGGTACAAGGGAAAGTAAAGAAGTTACATTGGAAAGGAGAGTTCAGTTTGATTTACTTCAGGTCATTTCTTCTAATAAATGTTATTGAACAAGTAAGTTGATATGTAGGGATAACTATAAGGTTTTGATTCATTATCTTATTTTCTGCAGGCTATGCAAAGAGATTATAAATTGAGCTCGTACTCACTAAATTCTGTTTCAACACACTTTTTTAATGAGCAGGTATTCTTTTTACGTTCTAGTAAGGTACACATAACTAACTTTTTTTATATTATGAAACTATATCTTATATATATATATATATATATATATATATATATATATATATATATATATATATATAAAACTAGTAGAAGTTTCTCGAGCCATTGGCGCGGGTTAGATACGAATTTTATGCATGCAACATCGATTAAAAGAAGAAGCAAAAGGAAAGGTTTTGGGAGGAGAATAATCTCATAATTAAGAGTCACATGGGAAGGTGCTTTAAAAAATTGTAAACCACACCACACGTTAAGGTCCTAGGGTCTTGTTCAATGCTTTAGCTGTGTTTGCTCTAAGGGAGATCCACTTATCAAAAGTAAGTTATTTTTTTCACCCTTTTATTTAATATTTTTTTGATTGAATGAAAGTCTTAATTAAAGTAATTGACAACCCTTTTTCTGTAAATGATGTTGTGATTGTGGGAGATGTGTTGTGTTTTTCTCTGTTGCTAGGTAACCTTCTCAACAATAGCATTCTACTTAAGCAGGTGAGTAATCAAGATTAAGGGAGACTTGTAATCATGTTTGGCATTCCTATCCAGTAAGAAATAGAGTTGTATGATTACTTTTTAGTTTTACAGGAATGTATAACCCATGTTAGCAATGTATTATTTTTGTTTAACATTTGAATGATTCTTTGTATGACATTATAATTTGTGCAATTTATTTTATTTTTTGAGTATGAAATTTTATTTTATATTATGCAATGGATTGTATTTTTGTATATGGTATTTTATTTCTATTATGAGAAATTAAATGCAAATTTAATTTAAAAATTAATAAATATATAAATTATTTTTTTTAAACATATAAATTTACGATACACAAAAATGTGTGTCATCTTCATTTATGACATGGCCTTTCTTGACAGGGCTTTCTTGATACGCATTGAGTGTCATTAACACGTGCGTCGTAAGGTTACGACACGCGAATGCGTGTTGTCTTCCTTTATGACAAGGCCTTCCTTGATAAGCATTGAGTGTCGTAAACGCGCGTCGTAATTGCGCGTCATAAATGCATGTCGTAAATGCACGTCGTCTATAGACGACACGCAAAAGCACGTCGTCTCTCTTTATGACAGGGCCTTCCTTGACGCGCATTTGCGAGTCGTCTGAGCCTTTTACGACGCGCAATGAGCGTCGTAAAAGGCTGTTTTTCTAGTAGTGAATGTTCTCCTTCCTTCTTTCAAAAGAAGGTTGGGTCAACCGAACCTTGTTTAAACTTTGACATTTTTAGAAAGCGAGTAAGAGTTTCATACCAGGCTCTTGTGGTTTCTTTAGCCCATAGACAACTTTATCCAGTACATAGCAATGATCCGGGTACTGTTCATTCACAAAACCAGGTGGTTGCTCAACATAGACGGTTTCTTCTAATTCTCCATTCAAGAATGCACATTTGACATCCATTTGGAAAACTTCGAAGTTCTTGTGAGCGGCATATGCTAGAAAAATTCAAACAGACTCTAACCGTGCCACAGGAGCAAACGTTTCTTCATAATCAATCCATTCTTCTTGACAATAGCCTTTTACAACCAACCGAGACTTGTTACGAATGACATTACCTTCTTTGTCCAGCTTATTTCTAAATACCCATTTCAAGCCAACAACAGAGGCATCTTTCGGTGTAGGAATCAATCTCCAAACTCTGTTTCGTTCGAATTCATTGAGCTCATCCTGCATTGCTTGTACCCAATCAGAATGATCAAGTGCAGCATTTACGGTTTTCGGCTCTATTTTGGAGATAAACGAGTTAAACATACAAAATTCCACTTTGGAGAATAATGTTGTTTGTTTTGCCTTCAGTTGAGATCTAGTAAGAACACTTTTGGACGATTCACCAATAATTTGCTCTTTGGGATGGTCTTTTGTCAATTTTACTAGCGGAGGATAGCTTGGATCATATTCTGGATTTAGTTCTGCTTCAACTTCAATTTCAACATCTGACTTATCCCCTTCACCTTTGTCAGTTGAACTATCACTTGTTCTCTCCTTCTCCCCCTCGACTGGCGAAGTGAAGCCTACGTCTACAACAGAATCGGTAGTAGGGGTCTCCCCCTCGATTGGATTTTCGCTTGTTAATTTTGGTTAAGTTGTTTGAGTATCAGATGGGGCGGAATGGTAATTCTCCCCCTCGACAGAAACTCCAGATGGTTTGAAAGTGTTAGAGTTCTCCCCCTGGAACGTTGAATCGGAGTTTGAAGTACTAGGTGATGGTTTAGGAGTAGGTGTTTCGGTTTCCATTGATTTGGCAGCTTCGTCTATTACTTTCTTCAGATTATTTACCTTGTTGTCTGCTGCTGTTACCTCCGAATGGATTGCCTTTTCTGGTTCATCGAACAACTGAATGTATTCATCAAACAGATTGGATATTGGAACTGAGACCTGTCCAGATGCTGGAAAGATGTCTCCAAAGGCATCTTTTGTCCTTTGAATCTTCTTCATGTAATTGTCATCAAAGGTGACATAATAAGTCTCTTCTATTCTTTTGGAATGTTTGTTCAACACTCGATATGCTTTTGATGACAGAGAATAACCCAGAAAGATCCCCTCATCGGCTTTAACGTCAAACTTATTTCGTTTTTCTTTAGAATTAAGGATAAAACACCTGGAACCGAATATGTGGAAAAACTTGACGTTTGGTTTCCGATTGTTTAAAATCTCATAAGGAGTTATTGGGAATCGCTTGTTGAGGAGTGACCAATTCTGAGTATAACAGGCCGCAGCAGTGGCATCAGCCCAAAAGTATAGAGGTAGAGAGGCATAGTTGAGCATGGTCCTAGCTGCTTCACACAACGATCGGTTTCGTCTTTCAACAATTTCGTTTTGCTGTGGTGTATAAGGAGCCGAAAAGTTGTGTGTGATCCCCTTATCAGCCAGAAAGTCTTCGAAATCCTTGTTTTTGAATTCCAGCCCATTGTCACTTCTGATGTTTCTCACGGTCTTCTTTAATTGAACTTCCACTTACTTGATGAGCATCTTCAGCTTGGGAGTTGCATCTGATTTCTGTCTAAGAAAGAAAACCCACATGAAACGTGAAA